GAAGTTACAAAGGAATTTAATTACGACATCTCGAAATTCGTGTCCAATGTGTAGAATATATACGATTTGAAAAAAAATAATTCTGTATTTGATGTTGTATATAATTGTCATTAAAACAAATAAATAAACTATAAATATGGTTACATTTTTAATTTTTTCTTAAAGTTTGAAGATTTTCACCCTGCCCTTTACTTTTGTTTGTAACAACCAAATGCACGATTTGAAAAGATTTTACTTTAGGTTTTTGAAACGTGTTATGATTAATTTGATGTTACAAGTGGGAATTAAATGAGAAGTCGATTTCCCGAATAAATTCGAATAATAGATGTTGTGGAACTCGTGTTTTAAAAAAAAAAATATCACATCATACGCACTGTTGATTATAATGAAATGATTCGTTGTCCTAAAATATGCGAGATTTATTCTACCCCTACAAGGAAGGATAAGAAGTTCATGTAATAATGTGTCTCTATGAACAACGCAATGAACAAATGACAGGTAAAAATTATATAATAATTTTCAAATGATTGGGCGTATACAAACAATTTTTGGAATGTTCTGTAATTCTTCGCGCAGTTTTTGAATTCTCCGCATTTATTATAAATATGCTATGGAAATTAGTAAAAAAAGATGAAGAAAAAAATAAAGAAAAAAATAAAGAAAAAAATAAAGAAAAGAAAGTCATACAAAATGAATTTGATCACGATCTTAACGTTACTTATTTATTTCTTCGCCGCAGTAATCGCCCAAGTTCCTATATACACTTTTCCAGTTAATACTTACAATTATTATGTTAGTGGTGGAAATGGAGTTCAACTCTTTGTAGAAGAAAAAGGGAATCCTGAAATGACTACAATCGTGTTCACAAGTGGGTATTTGGGAACGCGTAATAGCTGGGAACCACAATGGACTGATTCATATCTTAGCAAGAAATTTCATCTCGTTAGGTGGGATTGCCGAGGGCTCGGCAAAAGCGGTAAACCAAACGAATACTCTCTCAAATTACACAGCGATGACCTTGCAGCCGTAATAGCTAAAGTTAAATCGAATAAATCGAACAAGAAGATCGTCTTGGTTGGCTGGTCTTATGGGTCACTAATTTCTCTCAAATTTATGCAAAATTATCCTGATATTGAAGTACATGGATTTATCTCGATTGTGGGACTCGTTAATTTCAAATTCGAGCCGGCAATAGAATTCACGAATGTTACAACTATATTGAAGAACACTGATGATTTCACAACAATTGTTTCCGCGTTTACTTTAATTTATGAGATTATCTCCGCTAAAACTCTTTCTGATGAACTCAAATCATTAATGCTCGGTCGGCACCACTGTTCTCGTTTCTAACGGATATCGCAAAACTAGTATTTTTGGTAAGTTCAAAATTTTAATCATACGTTGGATAATGTTTAATATCATATCATATGAACTTGAGCTAATTTAGGAAAACTATTAATTAGATCCAACAGTTGATTTAAGTAATTTCTTTAGTAACCTAAATATTCCAACCTTAAATATCATTGGCGCACAAGATCGTATTGCACCGTTTAGTTATGGTTTATATTACGCAGGTCTCGCTAAACGTGAAAACAAATTATTTACGAAGAATGTGGACACTTCCCTCCATGGGAAGTTACAAGGGAATTTAATTACGATATCTCGAAATTCGTGTCCAATGTATAGGTATAGAATATATAAGATTTAAAAAAATTTCTGTATTCGATGTTAAATATAATTGTCATTAAAACAAATAAATAAATTATAAATAAAGTTACATTTTTAAACTTTTTCTTAAAGTTTGAAGATTTTCACCCTGCCCATTTACTATTGTTTGTAACAACCAAATGCATGATTGAAAATCTTTTATTTTAGTTGTTTTTGAAACGTATTATGATTAATTTGTTGTTATAAGAGGGAATTAAAGAGAAATCGATTTCCCGATGTTTAAAAAAAAAAAATCATGGTTTGTTTATAATAAATAAAATAAAATATCATGAAATGATTCGTTGTGCGAGATTTATTCTACCCCTAAAAGGAAGGATAAGAAGTTCATGTAATAATGTGTCTCTATTAACAACGCAATGAACAAATGACAGGTAAAAAATAAGAAGTTTTTTAACATAATAATTTTCAAATGATTGGCGTATACAAACAAGTTTTTTGAAATGTTCTGTAATTCTTCGCGCAGTTTTTGAATTCTCCACATTTATTATAAATATGCTATGGAAATTAGTAAAAAAAGATGAAGAAAAAAATAAAAAAAAAAAATAAAGAAAAAGAAAGTCATACAAAATGAATTTGATCACAATCTTAACGTTACTTATTTATTTCTTTGCCGCAGTAATCGCCCAAGTTCTATATACACTTTTCCAGTTAATACTTACAATTATTATGTTAGCGGTGGAAATGGAGTACAACTTTTTGTAGAAGAAAAAGGGAATCTTGAGATGACTACAATCGTTCACAAGTGGGTTTTTGGGAACGCGTAATAGCTGGGAACAACAATGGACTGATCCATATCTTAGCAAGAAATTTCATCTCGTTAGGTGGGATTGCCGAGGGCTCGGCAAAAGCGGTAAACCAAACGAATACTCTCTCAAATTACACAGTGATGACCTTGCAGCCGTAGTATCTAAAGTTCTATCGAATAAATCGAACAAGAAGATCGTCTTGGTTGGCTGGTCTTATGGGTCGGCAGTTTCTCTCACATTTATGCAAAATTATCCTGATATTGAAATACATGGATTTATTTCGGTTGTGGGAGTCGTTAATTTCATATTCGAGCCGACAATAGAATTCGCGAATATTACAACTACATTGAAGAATAGTGATGATTCACAGCAATTGTTTCCGTGATTACTTTATTTTATGAGAATATCTCCGCTAAACCTCTTTCTGATGAACTCAAAACTTTAATGCTCGGCACCGCTGTTCTTGCTTCTAAAGGATATCGCGAAACTAGTCTTTTTGGTAAAGTTCTTCATTTTAATCATATATTTAATATCATATCATATGAACTTGAACTAATTAAGGAAAACAAAAAAAATTTTTTTTTCTCTCTTATCCTTTTTATTAATTAGATTTAACAGCTGATTTAAGTAATTTTTTTAGTGACCTAAACATTCCAACCTTAAATATCATTGGCGCACAAGATCGTATGGTACCGTTTAGTTATGGTTTATATTACGCAGGTCTCGCTAAACGTGAAAACAAAATTATTTACGAAGAATGTGGACACCTCCCTCAATGGGAAGTTACACGGAAACTTAATTACGATATCTCGAAATTCGTGTCCAATGTATAGAATATATACGATTTGAAAAAAAATTCTGTGTTCGATGTTGAATATATTTGTCATTAAAACAAATAAATAAATTATAAATAAAGTTAGTTTTTAAATTTTTTTTTAAAGTTTTACTATTGTTTATAACAACCAAATGCACGATTTTATTTTAGTAAGGTTTTGAAACGTGTTATGATTAATTTGTTGTTACAAGAGGGAATTAAAAAAGAAGTCGATTTCCCGAATAAATTCGAATAATAGATGTTGTGAAACTCGTGTTTAAATAAAATCTCACATTCGTCCGCATGCGAGCTGTTCCTTAATGGTTACGGTTTGTAGATGAAACTGACCCAGAAAGTAAAAAAATATTAAAACGTTGGTTTTGGTACAACCCTTGTAGTTTTAATTTTTTTTTTTTTTTTTCAAAAAGTTTCAAGATTTGAAACGGTTGGGATCATAGTTGAACAATAGTACCACCTTCCCAAGATTCTATTGTTTGAATATTTTTAGATCATTGTCAATCATGGAAAGGCGCAGAAACAAGTTTGATTGTCCAATGAATTGCCGAAATTTGTTTTATCACGGGGAAAGCTTGATGTAGGTCTAAGTAAATATTATTCGCCTAATAAAAACAATCCTAATCAAAAAGGTTTGGAAATTACTAAGAGACGATACTTTTAATATGAAATGAATGAACTTTTAAATGGTAATAATGGATTTCGGCATCCAATATTAGAAATGAGCGACTTGCTATAGTTTCGGTGGGTATAAATACACGCGAAAGTTTTCAACAAAAAAATTCCAACAAACATTCGAACAAAAGAAAAAAATCAATAAAATCCAGGCAAAAAAAGCAAAGAATTTTTAAAAACCAAACAAAAAATTTTTTTCATTTGATTTTCCTTGATCTCCGTCTATCTTAATACATCCATCAATCATCAAAGCTTTTTTTTTAAAAAAAAAATTCGAAAATGTACTTAAACCGCTCTACCTCATTAGAAAACTCGTCCTTTGAAGGAATGCCAATGAAATACATCATTCAAAAATTACGCAAAAATGGACCCGAAAATTTCAACAATCCATCAACCGCAGAATTCGAATTACATGTAGAGGGTGTTGATAGACCATTTTGGGTACATAAAGATTTCCTTATCACGCAATCCGAATTCTTTAACGACAATCTTACCTCTGTGAGACATGGTGATCTCGTGAAGATCACTCTACCATCTCCCGAAACTTTTGAATCGATTCTTGAATATTTGTATACCGGAGATGATGACAAATGGTATGATTCCATAACTCCTGAAAATTATCAAGATGTTTGTAACAACGTTGATTATCTCGGTTTAGGCAGTGAAGTAAGGAACATTTGTATAGCTTATTATCAAAATAACATGAATGCTTAGTAGAGTCAATTCAAATCGGGGAGTTTTACATTTTACACGACACGGCATTTTATTCATCGAAAAAAAAAAAATTTTTTTTCCATATTATATTTATTATTTTCACGAACATTAAAACATTTCATTAGTAAAAATTTTTTTCTTTATATTTCTTTCCATTTTTTGTTATTTACTAAAAGTTTTGTCAATAAACATCATTACATTTTTTTAAAAATATAAATCTCATACCAATGTCATATGATGTTAAAGCAATTTAACTCATTTGATTCAATATCATCTTATACATTAGAGAAACAAATAAAATAAAAGATGTATGAATAAAAACCACAAGTTCTAATTTATTAGAGATATATTTTGACCGCTTCTTTGGGATGAGAATCAATTTATGCATCATTCGGGACTTTCAAATATGAAATAGGACGAACCGTATGAAATTTTTATTTTCTAAAATATTGCGGAAATGTAATTATTAAACAAAAAAGAAACCTGAATAATTTAGAGTTATCCTAATATTAAATTCAAAATTTATTAATTTGTAAGTATAAATGATTTCGCACGTTGTTAAGGATCTTGTTACTTTACGATCATTATTTTTTTATAATTAAATATAAGAAATCGCGGGGGAGATTTTTAACCTTAGACGAAAGAAATTTCATTGATGTCCTGCCCATACTTTTTTTTTCGGAAGACCACAAAAAAAGCATCAATTTTAAATGGGCGTCCTTAACCTAGGGAGGGGGGTGTAGACCCTTATCGTCCAACCCATGTATAAATAAAGTATATATCACGTGACATATACAGTTGCGGTTTAGGATAAAGGTCTACACCCCCTCCCTAGGTTAAGGCTCTTGGGGTAGTTCAAAATGATCGTCCGTCCCGTGACTTTTAAAATTATTAAGAATACTTGGAAAAGAACCAAAAAATTCACGTTTTCAAAATAATAATGTACATAATTTAAATAAATAATTTATAATTATCACCTATCGATCACATTTTTTTTTAAATGACTTTATAATACATTGAAATTCTTGCTTATAAACTATAACTAGTATTTTGTCAGACTTCCTTCCCTCTGCTGAAATACTACTATAAAAATTGATGATGCGTTTCGAGTGCACTTTTGCGCGCGCTTAAACAAACTTGAAAGTTGTAATTTAAATATTTTAACTTTGGTATAATCACACGTTTCGAACCTTTAAAAGGGTTGTATGATTCCTTTGTTCTGCAAGTAAAAAAAAAATAAAACGTGAAATAAATTTGAATGAAAACTAAACAATTTCACAATTTATCTACCATATTTTTTCTTCCAAAGATTAGTTGTTGGTTTTCTTAATTTCTGTGTTTTCTGTTAATATGATCATATAGTTAATATTATATCAAAGAAATAAACATAAATATCAAAAAAACATACCTTAATTTCATTAATGATGAAGGTATAACTTTTATATGCATTCGACACTAACAGGGAACTGGGAAATAATTTATTGACAATTTCTTCTTTAATGTCATTTTCCCACAAGTTTAAAGTTAAATCCAAGAAATATGTACTTAAATTTTGATTTTCTATATCGGAAAAAACCAATAAAAATCTATAAATAAATCTTTTTAATGCAAGGGCAAATGCTTTGGCGGGAATAAGTTGTTGACCTTGGCTTCCTTGTCCAAAATTTACAAAATTTTGAATTGAAACCTCCATTGTCCGTGTTAATGGAACTTTAAATTTATCATCAATATCATCAATTATCGAATCAACAATTTCAGCATTATCAATTATTGAATGATCAGCTTCAATCTTATCAATTTTTGAATTAGCAGCGACTTCAATTTTATCAATTATTGAATTAGCAACTTGCTCTTCAATTAATTCGTATAATACTACAATATGTTTTAACGAAAATTCTTCAAATATCTCAATGAATGCATTATTTATATTTGATAACCTTTCTAAATTTGTTAAATTTGCTAATTTTAACCATCGATTAATAAATTCTATAATAGGCATATCAGGATTGTTCATCGATAATTCTTTTATGAAATTAAAAATGATTTCGAAAAGAAATGCTAATTCTGATAAATGTTTTAGATCCAACGAATTATTCAGAATAAAAGAATTTGTCGGTTGAAACAGTTGTAAAACTAATGCCAATTTTTCATTTGAAATCGGTTCCTGTGGTATTATTTTCTTGATATCAAAAAGTACCCTCAGAGAATTTTGAAACAATTCATGTTTAAACGAAAATTCTTTTAAATAAAATTGACCATCCTCCTTTTCAAAATAAACTTTTTCATGAACTAATTCTTTGACTAGTATTTCTTCAATTTTTTGCAAGTAAAACGTAAAGTTCAATTCCTTATTTTCAAAGTTTCTTTGATTATATTTTAAAATGTTTGGATTCCATTCGTAATCAATAAAATGGATTTCTTTTGCTTGTGCCACCTTAACGGATTTGACGTAATAGGTTCTAGAATCTGTTTGATTGTTCCATGATCGTTCCATGAACTTAAAATTCTTACATTGCCCAACCGGAATAGCCAACACGTTATCCAAAAATTCATTATGTAAATTGATCAAGAATTCTAAAATTGCACTTAAGTAGATTCCCGAGTCCTTTTGTTCAACTAAACCAAATATAACTGGAAGTTCAAGATTCATGAATGGTTTCTCTCGAGGTAATTCCCTGGATTGATATTGAATAATATAATCAATGACGGAATTCCAACCCAGGGCAAATCCTTCAAAGAAAGATTTTAATTTGCCATCGTCATTTTCATTTAATCCTATTTCAACAAATTCATGAAATGTCATGGTTTGGGCCGCTTTTCTGGTTAAGTTAAATTCAAGTTTGAGGTTTAATATTTTTACAAATCTGACGATCGGGTGAAGGTGCTTCAATAATTTAAATGTTTCATAGTTATTAAAATAAACTGATAAGAATGGATATTTGTCTAAGCTTTGAGTAAAATCGCTATTGTAAAATTTGTAGAACTCTTCAAAGTCCACTTTTTTGATCATCTTCCAAAGCCTTGGAAGATAAGTTATTTCCTTATCATAGTTATTTTCAATCCATGGAAATTCACTTTGTAATTGATCAAGATCTACTAAACACATTCGTCGTTGTATAAATATAAAATAGATTTTAAAGGATTGAATAAATATGTTGTCAATTTTCATACAGGTATTAATTTCTTTGACTAACGTTCCAAGATCTTCTTGCGTATAATTTTTCCAGAATTTATATGCGAATTCCTTTAGAAATGCTGTCGCGATTACTTGTTGCAGTGCGGAAAGTTGTTGACATACCAAATGGTTCGTAAAGGTTCCAATTAAATGTATAAAATAAGGACTCAAATCCTTTAATTCAAAGCTATTGAAAAATGGCTGAATGAGTTCACAGCAAATTTCCGCCACATCGTTTTTTATATCAAGACAATTATTGATAACTTTCAGTCTACTTGAGTGTCCTAATGCTTGCTCGGGGTCCTTAATTAGTGTAAGAAATATTCCTTCTCGTTCTTGATTTTCCGTGACAAATATTTCCTCAACTATTACGCTAATGAATTGAAAAGGTTTTCGCGAAAATAAAAACTTATAAAGGATTAACCGAACCTCAGATTCTAGGGGAATAATTTCAAGACACCTCATAATAAAAGATCTAATATAGGTCAATTCATCGTCATCTTCGTCTAAACAGTTAAATACTAATTCGATGATATCCCCCGTAATAAACTCTTGCTTAATGACAGATTTCCCCAAATATATCATTTCTTTGATCTTTTCTGACGGGAATGACTTGATTTTTAATAAATCATTACATAAAAGTAATAATAATAAATTTCTTCTCTCTTTAATTTGATCGGCTAACGACACGATCATTTCTAAATCTTGCTGATATGGCTTATCATTGCATATTTGTTGTAGAATAATATTAATGGCCTCTCGAAATAGGGCTTGACCAAGGGTACCATAAACAATAAAATCTTCTTGAACTTTTGTGACGATGGTCGGGAAGGTTTCAATCAATAGTAATTGAGTTAAAATGTTATCCGACCACTTCCACCAGTAGATGTGAAGTAGAAAAGGATTATGAACGATTTTATCTCCAATGATATGCCTAAAAATTAAATCTAAATTTTTGTTGCAGTCTAACTTTCCCGTAGAATAAGTTGTTAATATTATCTTAATAAAATCATTATAATATAATTCTGAATAAGTTTGTAGGTGCTCAAAATATAGCTTAACAGAATGCAAGTTGTTCTCAAAATCTTCAATGTGATCCTCGACCGACTTTTCATCCAACTCTCCAGCTTCATTAATATTCTCTAAATCGCTTCTTAGTATATCAAGCTCTTCAAAATAGTACCATTTGTAGAAATTAATCTGATCCATAAAATAATATGAAAAAGGAAATTCTAGTTCAGTTACTTGGGGGCATGTCATTATATAACCGGAGGGTTTCGGTTCAGGCAAGTTATCGATATTGACAATTGTATTATCCATAAAAAATATTTTCCATAAATCAGTCAAGTCTTTTTTCGTTTCGGATTCTTCGTTATCAATAGTGAAAAATATCATTGTTGCCGAAACCATTTCTAGCGAATATAAGATTTTGGCTATCGTTTGTTTAACAATTACCTTCACGTAATTTTGTAAGGCTAGCGAAAAACATGTAAATTGGTTGAAATGATCCTTGCTTATAGCTACTTCGAATTGCCAATCTTCGTAATTTTCATAAATCCAATCAAAGGTTTTTGCCTTGACGCATTCAATGAAATTCTCACTATTTAAAATTTTTTCACTTAACATACTAAAAAAGGGTTAATGAAAAATGTTATAAATTTAACATAATAATAAAAATAAAAAAAAAAAATAAAAAGGATAAATGAATATATATACCTGATGTGAGTATTATAACTTTCATTGGAAAGCTGATACTTTATACATGATAAACACCATAATAATTCATCTTCCAAGATCTTTTCAAATGGTATTGAAGAATTAACTATTTTACCAAAAAGTTCCGAATTTAAGATCCCATATATAGATTTATCCAAAAGGTCTGATAATGACAGTTTCTGCCGTTCTAAAAAGTCAATTGTAACTTGCTTCCAATCGCCAAGAAAATTAGACGTTATGTGCTTATTCCGTTGAATATGAAATATTATGCATACATGTTTCATAGTCGTATCAGTCTGTTTTGTTATTGCTAAAAATTCATTACGCAATTGCTCAATAATGTACTTTGTCAACTTAATTTTTCTTGCGTTAGCGATTGTAACATCGCATTGGAGAAATAATACCTGATCTGTTGATTTGAAATAGAAATCTTTAACTATATTCGAAAGTTGGTGTTCGGACTTGAAAATCGATAATTTATATACTTGGCATCTTATAAAGTCACGTAAACAAGAATTCACATCCGTATTAATTTTAGAAAAGGTATTAACAATCACTAAATGACATTTAGGTAACGATCCTTTTTGATTAAACAACGATTCAAAATAGTCGCGGAGAGAATCATGAACTTGTTGATGAAAGTAAAAATATTTCAACATAATAACTTCATCTCGTTCCATAACTGATTTTTCAGCTCTTACAATTCCATCCGATGTTGCTACAGAAATTAAGCTTTCCTTACATTTGTCTAAAATCCCTTTATCATCAACCTCAGAATTATTCTTAGTAATATTTAATACTAAACTCTGTAAAGTTACATCCTCATCAAATCCAACGAAGAGATCCTTTTGTGAAAATTCATTATGTGATAAATCCGTTATATTACTTTCAATTGTGGTCATTCGTTTTGTCCAACCTTTTAATTGTAGAACAAATGATTGTTTTCTTTCGTCAAGGACATCATTAATAGACAAATTTTGCTTTTCAAATCGATCGAGAAGTGATGGATCAGCTAAAAATGATTCCTCATCCATGACAAGAATACATTTGAATTTTGGCGAGACATAACTATAAAATATAACCCGATAATTAATATAATTAGAATGGGAACTTTCTATAACTAAATTATAACTTACAGAATAGGAATGGCGCATGCTCCAAGCGCAACATGTGTCAAACGGTTGGCGTTTTCATTATTCCCTATAGCGATATAATTCTGATTCCATAAATCATAAAGATTTGCTACATGATATATAGTAATAATTTGATATTTAACTCGTCAAGAAAAAAAAAAAGATAATAATAAAAATAAAAAATTTACCATAAATATCTTCTAAATCTGTAAGAATTAATGGTCTTCCTGTTTCTATACACACCTAAATAATAAATGATGATAAATATGTATACAAAGGAATTAAATAAAAGCAAATAATCAATAATTACTTACCATAATTCTTCTTAAAACATTATATGAATAGTCTTCACGATCATCGGGAAATTGTGATCCTATAATTACAACAGGATCCAAATTTTTTCTCTTTAATTGATCAGTTAACAAGCTTATGGTTGATCCGTCTTTACCAAATATCATCAAATGGCGCGCATTTGGATCGTCTAAATTTGACTCGATCAATTTTAATATTGGTATTGGATTATAAGTCCATGAGTTATTATTATTAAATATATTAAAAACTCCCCCAAAATCATTTACACATAATTTGGCAATATCTCTCCTTCCAAAATTACGAGCCAATGCCATTTGAAAATTCTCTGGTGTCATTTTATTTAATGAAATCTGCCGAATCAACGAATAATAATCTCGATGACCATAACCAAAATACTTCGAAAATGCTTTTGCCAGGGGTTCTATAATACTTTTATGACTAGGTTCAAGAGCTTTGGTATTCAATAAGTGTTCGGTAGTATCAATCAAATCGTCCGAATCGAGTTGGGGTCTAAAAAAGAATAATTAAATAATTAAATAATGAATTTGTTATGCAGGTTTGAGAAACGTTTTCGAGCTTACGTTTGTACAAGTATCGCTCGACTGCTTTTACTAATATTTAAGCTCAAGTTTGATAATCCAATAAATGAAACAGCTGATCTAGTTGCCGGATAACTCGGTTCAAGCAAAGGATGAAGTATTTTTAACGGTTCCTTGACACTTCTTTCAGTAAATTCAACTAACCGAAAAAAAATTTTACAACAAAGTACGATAAATGATGCAAAAGAATCTAAGTAAATTCATATATACCATTTTCAAGCAAAACTACGCTGATAACAGAAGATTGACTGGAGCTCGTTTCTTGATATTTATTAGCCATTTCAAAAACATTATTAATTCCGTCCGAAGTTGAACCCCAAGAACATAAATATGGAATGGTATAAACCTATTGAGAAAAAATAAGTTCATTATTAAAAATAATTTTGATAAATCATCTTACTAAAACATTCGCGCATACCCTAGGTAAATTTTTGAAATAATCATCATTTGATTCGGATCCACGTAGATTTGAATTTATTAGATGGATTGCTAAAGATTTTGACGATCTTTTTGTTTTCGATATAAAAATTTAGTAAAATATTATTTATTTATTTATTTATTATTATTAAGTACATACCCTGTTTCTCCAATAACGAATATAGGAATTTTTGTCAAAATGCATACAATCATAGCTAAAACATTTTCTAGTAACGTTTCATTTATGGCCAAATGAGGAGGGCACTGCATCCTATTAATATAATTTTCTTGCTCTTCACGAACAATTCTAACAAATACGTTGTCCCCCATATAAATATTATGGGTTTGAAAGATTTGACTCATTTCGTAACGATACTGTTTACGTAAATCATGTTCATACAATCTAGATTGGTAACAAATACTAAGTGCTAAAACATGAGATCTGGTGATTGTAGTTAGATTACCAAGTGATGGATATACATGACCTTTTTTGTAAGCTGGACGATTCTCGAGAGAGTTATAAAAGAATTTCACCAATGTTATAGCTCGCTCGACATCACGCAAGCTAACACGATAAGGCTCTTCGACTTTACGAATGAAGTTCTGTGAAGCGAATACGAGATCAGCAAATAATGAATGCCCCATTTCTTTTAATTCTTTTTCCATCATAATTTTAATATAATTGTATTCATAATCTGGTCTCAGAATATTATAATCCCACACATAATCCAAAATTTTATCGGGAAGCGAGCTGACTTGATACACTAATAGGCTTTGTTCTTCGTATTTTTTATGTTGTTGATCTCTTGTAAGAAGACGGAATGGATGACAGGTAGAGAATAAACGAATATTTGGATGTAGAGGTTTGCCTTGAAACATTCTATTAGATATTAAATCTGCAAGAAAACCTAAATGTCTACATGAGTTGATCTCATCAAATAATATCCAGATTTCGCCTTTTATTGCATCGTTTAAAGCATCTAGCACAAATCTCGTAATCGTTTCTTCGTCAATTCCGCAATGAAGATTAATTGTTCGGAATTGGACTTCAGTCAGCCTAGCTAGATAAGTTATTAAGCTTGTCTAAATTATAATAAAAACGATTAAGAATTAATTTGAATTTAACAAAAAAAAATAATATATATATATATATATACATTTACCTTTCCACATCCCGCTTCACCGCAAATTACGACCGGAATGTTCGCTCGAACTCTTAAAAGAATTAGCGACATCTTTATAAGATTATCACTAGTTAAGGTATATTCTGGTAGGTTTAACTCTTGCGTTGAACTTCGAGCCATTCCTTCTAGCTTCATTAAGAGTGCATTTGCTGACATTTTATTGTAATCATGTATATCCGGATCACAAATTGCTTGACTCTTTAATAGTAATTTGATATTATCAGGAACTTTATTTTTGTCATGGTATAAGACGGTACAGAAATCCGAAGCTTGAGAATTAGGAAATGCCATAACGTAATTAATATTGGAATTTGTTTCAAAATAAGAATCTTCATCTTCAGTCATTAGCGGTGATGCCTTCATCTTTATAGAATTGGTTACGAAATCTTTCGAAACATCTATTAACGATTTAAGTATGGTTGATCTGATGCTAGTAGTATCTTTCAACTTTAGCTTGAGATTATCAATCGTAAAATATTGACTTGATGACAGTCTAATCAGTTGATCCGCTAAAACGTTAACGAAAATTTCTATGTATCTAAATGATAATATTCTTTTTTCATTCGTTTTCAAAAAGTATTTTTTAATAAGATTTCGACAAAGTTCCGCAGACAAGGGTTTGATTTCTTTTAACGTATTTAAGGTAATTTCTTTGGTGTCAACTTCCTCATGATCATACAAGTTCAAATAATGACATACGACTTGAACTGAACTCGATGTTTCCTGAAATACTCTAAAATTTTCAATATTCCAGGATAAATGTTTAGATGACAAAAACATCAATGTGGGAAGAGGAGAAACTTCGGATAATGATGAATAGATTTCGATATAAATGGAAGTTTCTGGTAGTGAAACTATCACCTTATTATATGATACTATTCTAAATGTCGTTAACTCAAATAAAAATATATTCACGTCTTCAGGGCAACCAAAAGGTAGAACATTAATATGTAGACTTTGTGTATGCTTAATTTTGCATCCTTTTAGCTTGTTTACAAGATATCTAAGGTCCATGTAATCACTAATTAAGAAACTATACGGAAGTTTTTGTTCGGAAAAACTGGTTTCTTTAATCCATTCGGTTTTCCCTTGACCTGATAAATCTGAAGAAACGCATATTATATTTGGACCAATTTCCTTATAAATTTCTTTCATCGTTTCAGCAGCCAAAAGATCAATCTCTTGAACTTTTAGAGTATATTGATCCAAAATATAATTGGATACTTCCAATTCCTGATAGCATAGAAGTGCCAATAAATAATTCCCACTTACATGTTCCAATTGCATTTTTTCAATATAATCGACTAAATCATATTGTAATTCAAAGTGTAATAATTCTAAATTTGCAATGCAGAATATGTGATTATTATATTCATTATCTGCGGCAAGAAAACTTCTTTTAATAAAGTTTGTGAGCTCTTCCATTGTAGTTGAAGCAGTACATATCAATAGTTGCCATGGTTCGGGATAATATCCATTATGAGCATACAGTGAAATGATTGCGTTTGGAGTCAAGAGTCTTTCTTTATATTTTCCAATAAATAATTCACCGTTCGTAATTACATTCGAAATTGATTTTTGTTGAATGACTTCAAGCTTGCGCGATTGTTTTGGAATGTTTCCAAAAATTTTATCTAATTCAAAACCAATCTCACAAAGTAACTCAAGACAATCTTCATGTTCACATGATATTCTTATTTCCCCATGAAGCGGCAATTGAGCTTTGTTATTTACAAATCTGATCAGCGTTCTGCACATTTCTTCATTCTCTCTGTCTAATTGTTCCGATGTGAAATAATCGTAAAATGCCCAAAGATGATGAGCGGTGTAGAATGTTAAATAATACCATTTGTTTTGTGCCTGGTTCATTTTACTCTCCCTATGTAAATTTATTCATAAAAGTCAATGTAAAGCGCGTTTTATAAAATAAAAAAATTAATATATTCACCATTTTTCTAAATCATCATTTAATAATGTAAGGAATTCCTTCATGGCTTCCACTCCTTCTATTTTCTTTTCGAAATTTCTGTATTTAAAATGTCCTCTTTGTATTAATATTGTAACTAAATCAATTATTTTTTGAGCAATGCCGACTAATTCAATGAAGTCATTTATATTGACGATGGCGTTTGAATTTGATATTAAACGAACTTGTTTACGCAGGTCCAGAATTTCATCTAGATTATACACGTCTTTTGCTAATGATGGATAATTTAACGTTACTATACACTTTTCAATTTTTTCGTCAAATAAAAAATTATATGTTCCATTAAGAACGGCATTCTTAACTTTCTCTATAACATTCTCGTCGTGATTCAAAATGTTATGATACATCTCTTGCAATACCATCTTGTTACTGTTACACGATGCAAGCTTGCTCACTAATGTAGGATTCTTCTCAACGATTAATTGTAAATCATCCAAAAGATCAGCAACTGATTCGATTTTATTGTTGATCAGCGGAAAGATATGTTGTCGAACGTGAAGAAGTGAAAGAATAATATCCTCTTGAATCAACCTTTCACCTGAATGATCATCATCCATCAACAATTTTTTAATATCATTTTCAGAAATTGTTTTTAAGAAATTCAAAAAATCCTCGGCAATCGATATTTCTTTTATAAAGTTCCAACAGCTTTGGTCCATGTTAAGGGTCCTATCAATCTTTTCGATAAACTCATTCACTTGACAAAGTGCCAAGACATCATCTCGTAATATCCTGTTTGATTCCGATATCAGATCATTCCCACCTTGTTGTATCTGGAAAATTTTTTTTATTTTCTCTAATCGCTCAAATCTTTCTATCCACCGAGGTAATTTCCAAAGATTTTCAAGAGTTTGCAGAAATTTTTCATTTCTCCTTAAAAAGTTTAATTCCTTTAATTCAAATTCAGCGAAATCCCTAGCGTTCTTCCAAAATAATAATGCTTCCGAGTAATTAACATCCTCCCAAGATTTAAACTTTTCACACATGTCTTTATGTTTTTCAAAGACGATTGGCATTAATTTTTGTGCTATATAATCCACATTTGTTGCCGCAGCATCTTTCTGGAGACAAAACTCAAAGATATTTCGAAAGGTTTGAGATTGAATATATTTGTAGCAACGATTTGCACTTTTCAACGTTTTCTCATGGAATGCCCAATATTCTGACTCCAATACTTGTTTCAACGTAACCTTGCCTGAATTTTGTTCAAGTTTTTGTATATCTTTGATAAAATCATTTGAATCAGTTACTTGTGGGGCTGAACAGAATTCTTGATAAAATCCGGATAATTGATCGATTTGACGTGTATAAACGTTATAATATAACATTCTGAGTGTGACAATTTTAAAATCATTAATCGCGTCATCACTCGCGGCATTGAAATGTTTTAATAATATTTCATCAGAATATTCTAAAATTTGTTGCAATAATTGCATGTCTATCGTATAATCTAAAAGGATTCTATTAAGATCTGCGATGGATTTTTTGATCCACCGAACGTAAGAGTTCGCATGAAGTTTTGCGACGCTTCCGGTGGCGCTCAATATAATGTTCCAAAATTTGCTCGCTCTAAGAATTGATAAATGTTGCTCTGAAGGGATAGGTACGGGCAATTGACTCAAGTTAAACATGATCTGGCACAAGAGATCCTCGCACATCCTAGAAAATCAAATTTTTTTTTTTTTAATAAGAGGAAAAAATTTAGATTATATATCCTTATGGAAACCAACGATTAAATCAACTTACGTATTTGGCACCTCCAGCGATTCGTCTTTACAATCGCAAATTATAAATATTTCCTTCAATAAATGATCATTAGCTTGCTGCACCATCTTGCTTAATATTTCTTTAACTAATTCGTCAAATAATCTTTTGACTTCTTGTTCCTTTATCATTATCATGGGTTTTGTTGCGCCCAAAATGCAAGATTCGGAATATCCCTTCACTTTATCTATAGCAAGGGTTGATAAATCCTTCCAAATAGTTAGATGGTTGAACAAAGGATAAATGCGGTCTAATTGCTGAAATATCGTAAATGTATACACGCTTTCATCCGAAGAACTTTTATGTCTAACGCCTAATTTGTATAAAAGAAGGTTAAACCAACTATTACAAATGGTTGAAACCCTTTTCAATTTCACTTTGATGTCGTAAGGATTTTCAAGTAGCCAATCATTCAAAATTTCGGGAAAGGCGGTTAACAATTCCAAATTATGAGATTGAGATATCAATTCTAATGAAGACAACACATCCTCATCGTTCCATTTTAAATCATATTGTTGAAAAAGACTTTGTAAGGCAGAGATTTCCGAGTCTGACCAACGCCTATCCAAATTTTTAAGTAAAGATAAAACGCGTCTTCGGAACGTAAAAGAAACGCAATCTCGGAATTCTCTTGGAATTTTCGTAAAGTTATTCATCAAGTCATTAGCATGATTGTTAGAAATAATGCTCTGAACTTGATAGGTAAAGTATTGAGAAATTTGTTTGTTCCTGATAAGGAAGATATCCCATACTACAAAAAGAATCTCTATGTTTTGACAGAATTGTACCAACCATCGAGTAATTTTTATCGTATTTTCAAGTTCGATATTGTGAATGTTTGTCTTAACACTTTCCGAAATCTTTTTCAATTCTAAATCATTATACCTAACATTTTTTAAATTCTCCAAAAATAAAAATTCCGGATCGACGTCTTTGGCGATTGTAAAAATTACGAGCCAATCTAATCTTAATTGAATAGTTGCATTATATTGAATTAAAGATAAAATTGCCTTGATGATATATTCATTTGCATTCAAGCATAATATCTCACTCCGATAATCTACAAGCGCTTCAATTAATAACTCCGCTTTGAAACCGGTCGGGAATTTAAAATTTTGTTCCCCTGAAATGCTTGAAATGTAATGACCCAATAAAATACACAAGAAAAGCCGTTGACCACTTTGTGCATGTTTATTCATCATTTTTGTTATATATTTGTAATTTGAAAATGAAACTGTAAGGTCATGATGAAGGGTTAAAATTTTTATATATTCCGAAGCGCATTCACCTAGGTTATGAATTGTCACATTATCGTAAAGTTGATCTACAAAAGCGTAGTCGACTATATTTTGATCGATTTGGTACTTTGGATGATTAATCCAGATGTCAAATTGATTATTTCCATTCAACGAACGTTTATCAATACTTTCGAATGATACCTTTTCGTCCTCCAAATGAAAAAACGAGGCTGGAAGATGAATGGCGTAATTGTATCGGACCTTTGCATTTGGTAGGGAAAGTGGTTGTGATTTCCAATAAGTAGGATAATTACGAAACGGTCGATAAAGTTTTACAATTGGATATTTCCAGTTTCCCAATTCTACTCCATCGCCGATAACGACTGGCTGTCCATGCTTTTCAATATCAACCGGTAAGTGAACATGGAATGTATATAATTTATCTTCCATGAGATTAGATCTATTTTTTTTTATCTTATTTTATTTATTTTTTTTTTTTTTTTTAAGAAAAATAAATTAGGTTGGGTTCTGCTAACTTTTATATTATTAATATTTTTAAAGCACAAGCCCACACCTCGCCTAATCCGTTCATTCAATAATCATTAATTTAAACTATTGTTGATTACACATGATAATCTGTAATATTACACTTTTAGGTTAAAATGAAATGAATGGCGCAGTAGCGAATTTGGTGCTCCCGATGATCTTTTTTTTTTTAATTTTATTTTTAGAACAAGAATTTCAATGTATAAAGTAAAAAGAGAAATTTCATAGTTCGACCAAATCAAGATAAATTATGAACTTGTTATTTATGGCTTGGCCCTATCTCTTTTCAGGGAACGTGCCAGTAAAAATAAAATGATTCTCTTATAACGGATTGGGTTATTTGAGAATCATGTCATATACTTAAAAATTCTTTATGGCTTTGCGATTTAAGGATGGCTATGCTATTTACTATATTTATATATATGTATAAAAGAGAGGATTTTTTTCATCGGTTTCTTAATGAAAAATATTCTTTCGTGAATTCAAAAAAAGTGACGAGAATCGCAAATTTTTTTTTTTCTTTTTTTTAAAAAAAAAGGAAGAGTGATAACGAATAATAAAGTAAAAAATTTTTACGCATTGTTGATTTTTTTTTTTTAAAAAAAAAAAAAAAAAAAAAAAAAATAGTAAATGAAAATGAACAGTTTGATTTTGGTCTTTTTAATATTTCTTATCGTTTCAGCAGCCGTAAATTCACTTCCGGTAAGTTATTTCTCCCTTTAATATGATTTTTATATACAACCTTTATTATTATTATTATTGACTATTATTTTTTTTTTTTTTAAAAAAATAAAATAAAATAAAATAAAATAAATTCAAAAATAAAAAAAATAGGTCATTTCTAAGGAAACCACAGAGCATCCAATTGAGGGAGTTGATGATTTATATTGTATTGCAAAAATTTTTACATGTGAGGAACGTTGTAAAGGGCTTTCGTTACCCTATGAAAAACCTTGTGTCATAGATTGTATGGAATTTTGTGAAATACAGGCAATGAACCTTCAAACTTGAGGAAAAAAAAAGTTGGACGGAAAAAAAAAAAAAAAAATCTTAAATGACAATCTAAAGTTTTATCTAATGTGATTAATGTGATGGTGGTAAATTTATATTTATGTATATTTGGGTTGGGAAGACTATTTATTCGTTTCATTTAGTCGTTTTGGTTATCCTAGTTATTCCATAAATCTATTTATTTTTTTTTTTAATTAAATTAATAATTTCATGATAATTTGTCAACAAGTTTTATTGGGAAACGAATCTTTTTCAGAATTCAATCTAATGCAATGAAATTTACGATTTGCAATTCTATGCTTTTTTATCATTTACCCGAAAAAGTAAAAAATGTCGCACAGCGATCCGTCATTATCAATTTTAATTAAATGTAATATCAACATTGATTCTCGTTTAATTAATTTGTCTCGGTCGATGCCATGTTGCACATAGATTGTAATTTATCTTTAGCTCAATAAAATAAGCATGGCATTGCATTTATTAGATATCAAATCAAAATAAAAAAAAATAAAAAAAAAAAGGAAGAGAGAAAAAAAGGGGATTTTTATCTGTTTTGATTTAAGCGAATTAATAAATTTTTTTTTTTGTTGAAAATGGACAAAATACGATTATAATACCTTAATACCCATGATTTATGATTTAATTTTATTATTTTTTTTTTTTTTTTAACATGTATATATATATGTGAAAGATGAAGTAAAAGTTTAAATACAAAAGTTAATATGAAAAGGTAATAGAGTTACAACAGCACTCCAAAAGCAATTAATAATCATGTTCTCTTCCTCTCTCTATATAATTAAAATAAATATACATAAAGTTATAATAACAAGAGAAAGTTTTTTTTTTTGTTCAAGATGAAAAATTACAAGTTTTTTAAAATGCGAAATTAATGAAAAGTGAAGGGGGAAAGAGGAATTCAAGATACTTCCAGGTATTATGAAATTCAATATATAACAGAATTAAAGGATATTTCTTATTATTGATACTTGTTAAAACCTTCCTTGATGATTATATCCTTGATTATATCGTCCTTGTCCCTGATCGGGATAATAATACGGATCATTTTGAGGCGCTGCACCTTGATTATATTGTGAATAAGGATCGTATTGCTGTGGCGGTGGTTGTTGTGGTTGTGGATTGTAAGCTGTCGCATTGGCATCGTAATTATAATATTGCTGTCCCACATCCGAAGAAATATTTGATGCTGTTTCTGAAGCGTAGTAAGGATCATCTGTAAAATGTCCTGAAGGAAGTGTTCCTCCCGATCCATGATAACCCTTTTCATTTGAATAAGGTGCACTATTCTGACGTTGCACTTGCTGCCTTTGCCTTTCTTGACGTTTTATTCTACGTACTCTTGCACGTTCCCAATCTTCCCAACGTTTCAATGTAACTGATGATGCGTCAAAATGCCCTTCCTTCTTACTATGATCATCTCCCTTGGCTTCACCTTCAACCTTTCTGGTTTCACCCCATGAAAAGTCATCGAAATGCCAATATGCATAGGTTGGTAAAATGAAATTCCATACGGGTAAGGCCAGTAAATAGATGAACATCCAGGCGATATAAACCAGTTTTCTTGTGGTGAACAAAATTAAAATGGCTGGCAATCCAAGAACGAATCCCAACATCATCAAGGGAATTGCATCAGAAAAACTTGAAGGTGGTTTTAATATTATGGATACAATTAATGAGTATGTTAATAAGATGGCTACCGGAAGTACGACGGTACCGATCAATTCCATGAAAACTACGAATTGCATGGAAAAGCAAAATGTTCCACAAAGATTTCTAACCAATACGAGTTCCATTAAATTGTGAATGGTTGAATTAATCCATCGACGACGTTGGGAGAGTAAAACGTTAAAATCATCAGGTACAACAGTTTTGCAAATAGCCTGTGGACAAAACATCATTTTACGGTGAGGAAAGTTTCGCAACATGAGCGTGGATAAAAATCGATCCTCTCCGAGAAGCAATAGATTCTTTTGATGCAGAGTATCAACTACGTTTTGAGAATATTCTTGAACGATTTCAGGTTTGGTAATAATTGGAACCCAATCATCATCACCCTTGCGTGCCTTTAGACGGTACATGCAGAAACAACCAGGTAAACAGGTAACACCACCAAACACCGACTCGAAACCTTTACCCAAATGATGAGAGATATAATATTCAAAGACTTGGATGGATGTCACCCATGAATCTCGCTTGTTCGCGATCCTCGTTTCACCACAAAGTCCCATGATCAAAGGATCATTACACATACAATTAATGAGTATTCTCAGTGAATCAGGATATACTTTTGTATCAGCGTCAACCATAAGAACGATTTCAAAGAAATCAGGTGTCACGCCCATCAGGTAGTGAATCTTTCCGAATAACTCATAATCCAAAGGAGCCATACGATCGTTGTAAGTAACACGACTAAAGAAGTTCATCAATATCAACTGAGAGTCACGCTTTCCACGATTTCCGGGTTTTGGTTTACCTTGTTCTTCAGGACCACCACATTTTACAACACAGATCATTGGGACGCGACGATCTTTCCAAGGGAAGTAACCGGCATAAACTTTAGCCATGTTGAGTTGTTTAGAACCAGCAGCGACGGCAATGTAACTTTGTGGTTGTGGGTCTTTGAATTCAGGTGGAATTTCCATGAGATCAATGCAGATATCAGGAGTGCTCTTATCATTACCATGACCGGTGATTACACCATCACAGATCAAGAACAACATTTTACGATCATCCGGGTATTCAGTAGCGGCCATCGATTCACAAGTACAACGTAAACCAGCTTCATCTTCGGAATAACACGTAACGAGTAAGACGGTATATAAATCATTTCCCACATCATCCATGGTCATGACTTTGGTCATACCACCACCCATACCATTATTCTTATCACTCCAAGGAGTTGCGGCTTGTGATAAGACGGGGTTTCTTTTATTAGATTTTGGTGTATGAGCGAGTCGATGTGAAATGAACCAATTGAAAACGCAAGCCATGGCAAATCTTGCCATAACTATTCCAAGAATGACGGTCAAAGAAACATACAAGAAAAGTTGGGAAGTGAAACAACCGATGGTCTCTTTATCAATGTTTCCAGCATAAAATTTCTCAACCAAGCAATTAACGGCCGCTTTTGTTTCTGATCTACCAAAGAAGAGACGAGTTCCGTCTTTACCTCCTTCGCGATGATCCGTGCTTAATACCGTGCGAATAATTTTATCTAAAGCATCATCTGGTATTTCATCTGGAAATCTTTTTAGATAAGGGTTGAGATTTAAAACGTTCCCATCTATGACTAAATAATTTTCCAAACGAGTACCAGCGAGTTGAATCCAATCAAAACCAACTTTTGTTGAAGTATTCACAATTTTCATCCCTTCTAAATTTTCAAGTGTGATAAATACATCCTTAAGAGGGCATTCATTTTTATCACATACTTCAAAATTAACAGCATTAAATTGTTGAATGTTAGGATTATTTAGACAGGCTGGAAATTGTTTATTTGTCCTTGTGAAAAATACTGAAATATCTTGACCATTTTGTTCTTCCGCAAGTTTTTGAAAATCCAAACCAGGTCGTGATAAACCATTTGTAACATCAAATTGCCAACCGTTAATTCCAAGATGACCTGGAGCTTCACCGAAACGTTTAAACTTGAAAGGATTATCAGATTGGGAAGGAGGACAGAGTACGGCCGAGAAACCTACAGTTAAAAAGGCAACTATTCCACCCATAATAGCAGCGATGAAACATAAAGCTATTTTTTCGCGCCAGGCTTGTCGTGATTGTTTATCATGGAGACCGATCGATGATAATAAGGCACCCGGTGCCCAAAATGTGACAACTTTTGAAAAGATTACCCAAACATTGCAAGAATTTTCTTTATTACCAGTTAAAAGAGGAGTTGCGGGTTGATAACGTTCAGGTCTATTTAAAGTTTTTGCGCGCCTTAACGCGCTCGGTGGTCTATTATTTTGAAACTCACTTTCCATCTGTTTATTTATTCTATTATGATAGTAACTTTTGAATTTTTAATGTATTTATGCGGTAGGTGAAAATTTTTTCTTTTCTTTTATTTTTTTTTTCAATTATTTTCCTTTTGAGGGGAAAAATCTAGTGGGAGAATACGGATGGTAATGGTGGATAATTATTATTGTGAGAGGGGATAACTTGTATAGTGTTGTAGAAGTCAATTCTACAAACTATATAATGGAATCTATTGAGATAATGAGTGTACGTGAAAAAAGTGGGAGATTACGAGAGAGGGGAAATTGTATCAACATTCGTAAACTTCCTCAAATTTATAATGATTTTATAGTAACAAACACACAATAGTAAATATAAATAATAAATTAATTAGGTTCATCAAACAGTTTTACAAAATTCCACATTTGTATTGCAAAAATATAAATTAGGTTTATTTCTTGTTGTTCAATTTGTTGTTATAAAATGCAGTATACACAATATAAATGTACAATAAGTGTACAATATAATAATAGAACCGTAAAACGTGACACACGTAAATTATTTATAACTCTGAAACTTCGCCGTTTCTTTGAATTTTTATTGTTGCGTGCTCAGTAATAATCAACGAGACATATAAAGAGCCCCTTCAGTTCGTACATCTTCGTTTTAAAAAAAAAATATATATATTTATAAATTTTCACGGACGGTTTTACGAATCCTGCATACTTCTAAGGATTTTTTTTTTTTTTTCGTTGAATAAGCACAAGAATGTTTATTTATAAGTTTACGTTTCGATGATGAAACAGGTACGTACGTATGAACTGTATATATAAATAATTGATTACTGATCCTGCCAATAATTTTCATTTAAAAATCTTTTTGAGAACCTTCGTTCGGTCAAATATCCGCATACATAAATGCCAAATTTTGTTGCCGTACTAGCTCAGAATTCTAGAATTGACGTTATATGTAATACAAATAAAGGAATTTGATTTCCTAAAAAAAAAAAAAAAAACCTTTTG